CGCCCCGGGTCCGCCCCGTAAACTTTGCTTTAAATGACATTTTCCTCAAAAAACCACTGAGCCAATTCATCCAAACTTCCCAGGAATTTTCCTTTGGGGGGTTTTCCCCCTTTAAAAAATTTGTTAAAAGGAATTTTAAATTTCCAGCAGAATCGGGGTTGCCAGGGGCCCGAAAGAAAAAATCTTTAAATATCTTTTTTAAAAAACCCCTAAGAGCTAGAGCTTAGGAAAATATTGGCAAAACTTCTTTTGAGTGCTACCAAGTTTTTTCAAATAAAAGCCCGGGGGTAAAAAATTGCCCCGCCCCAGGGGGTCATTGTTTTTCCCCCTATATCATATAGAAAAAATTTTAAAAAAACTTTTTTTTAAAAAACCCAAAAGTAAAAGCTAAAAATATTTGGCATGAACATTTCTAATGATTTGTCTACCAAGTTTTTTTCAAAAAAAAACCCCGGGGGTCAAAAATTTGGGCCCCGCCCCAGGGGGTAAAGGAATTTTCCCAAAATGCAATAGTTAAAAACTTAAAAAAATCTTCTTTTAAAGAACCCCCAAGAAAGCTAGACCCTAAGATATTTGGCAATGAAACATCTTCTAGTAAGTGTCTACCAAAGTTTGTTCAAATAAAAAGCCCGGGGTAAAATTTGGCCCCGCCCCGGGGGGGTTCATTGATTTTCCCTATAAGGCATATAGTAAAAACTAAAAAATTCTTTTTAAGAAAACTGAAGAGCAAAGCTTAGATATTTGGGATGAAAATCTTCTAGTGAATGTCTACCAAGTTTGTTCAAATAAAAGCCTGGGGTCAAAATTGGGCCCCCGCCCCGGGGGGTTCATTATTTTTCCCTATATGCATATAGTAAAAAACTTTGAAAAAATCTTTCTTTTAAAGAACCCAAAGAGTTTAGAGTAAGATATTTAAGCAGAAAAACATCTTCTTATTAGTGTCTACCAAGTTGTTCAAATAAAAAGCCCTGGGGTCAAAATTGGCCCCTGCCTCAGGGGCGTCATAGATTTTCCCTATATGCATATTAGTTAAAAACTTAAAAAATCTTCTTTTAAACGAACCGTAAGAGCTAGAGCTTAGATGATTTGGCATGAAACATCTTCTAGTAAAAGATCCTACCGAAGTTTGTTCAAATAAAAAAGCCCTGGGTCAAAAATTGGGGCCCCGCCCCAGGGGATCATTGATTTTTCCCTATATGCATATAGTAAAAAAACTTAAAAAATCTTTTTTAAAAACCCAAAGAGCTAGATGCTAATATTTTAGCATGAAACATTCTTCTTAATGAGTGCTCTACCAAGTTTGTTAAAATAAAAGCCCTGGGGTCAAAATTGGGCCCCCGCCCCAGGGCGTCATTGAATTTTCCCCTATTTATGCATATTAGTAAAAACTTAAAAAGTCTTCTTTTTAAAAACTCAAAGAGCTAGAGCTAAGATATTTAGCATGAAACATCTTCTAATGGGTGTCCTCTACCAAGTATTTCAAATTAAAAGCCCTGGGTGTCCAAAACTGGCCTCGCCCCGGGGGTCAATTGATTTTCCTTAATGCATATAGTAAAAAACTTAAAAAAAATCTTCTTTTAAAAAAAACCCAATGAGCTAGAACTTAGATGTTTAGCATGAAAACATCTTCTTATGGGTGTCTACCAAGGTCTGTTCAAATAAAACCCCCTTGGGTAAAAATTGGCCTGGGGGGGGGGGCCCTATATACAGCGTGATTTCGACCTCAGCCCCGCCATCCATGGCCCTTTTTTATGTCATTTGGGCCCACAATTAGAATGATTTTTCTGGGGGGCAATATTTCTTGGGGCAAAACAACAACCATAAAGCTGGAAATTATTGGACATAATTATCAGTTTAGCCCTAAAATGTAAAGTCATCTTTGAAAAAGTGCTGCTTGTCCCTTCATGCAGGCTTCAAGCTGGGCCTACTTTTCCTTCTTTTCCCTACTTTTTTTGATTGACCCCTACTTTTCCCCTACTTTTTTCTTGAAATGCCCTACCGTATCCCTACTTTTTTAAGAAAAAAGCTCGAGGATAATTGAAAAAAAATCCATAAGTAGTAGATTGATTTTGATATAATCTTTATCTCAAATTTAAATAAGAATCAGATGCTAGTTTAATTGTAGGAAAAAGTTGATGGAAGTAGGTCATCAGTGGTGCAAGAGGGTTCCATGATGAGGATGGTTGGAGCTGACATGGCAGAATCAGTGACTTTTAGGTGAGTTTGCTTCTATAAAAATATTTACTTAGTGTTCAATTATTTTTTATGTTTCATTTCAAAATTAATAATATGTTTTTGTACACAGACTAGCTTTTCAATTGTTTACATTTCAAAATTATAATATGTTTTTGTACACAGACTAGCTTTTTCAATTGTTTCATTTCAAAATTATAATATGTTTTTGTACACAGACTAGCTTCTCAATTGTTTCATTTCAAAAATTATAATATGTTTTTGTACACAGACTAGCTTTCTCAAATTGTTTCTATTTCAAATTTTTAATATGTTTTTGTACACAGACTAGCTTTTCAGTTGTTTCCAATGATGCTTATGCTGAGGGACAATACTTGCCAAACATCTTGAGCATATATAGAATTTAGACAATGTTTGGCATATTAGCAAGTATTGAAGTTGCTCCCTGTGATCATTTTGTCCTGAATTTTCACATTGAATGAAAGATACTGGAAAAATGTAATGATGTTTCTTCTAAAAATATGTATTCAATTTGATAGCTTTAATATGGTGGGGGATAAGGAATTTTATCTAATAACAGATAATTTAAGAATAACTAACTGTGTGTTTAGGCTTTCAGTGTGCCAATTATTAGTAATATAACCATTAAAGATGTGTTGCATCCAAAGTTTACGTAACAAGTTTTTTTGCTTTCTATCTTTAAATACATATATACATGTATAATATGGCATAAATACTCATCTCTACCTGGGAATTATTTGAGACCTACTTACATTTCTCTCAAGTGTCATTAAGTTTCTTTTTAAATTCCATTTTTACTAACAATTTATTATTTCAGGTCCATTAATTTATAAAAATTAACTTCACAATGCTATATGGACTCACAAAATTAAACAATGCATGGTTAATGCAAAAAGATGAAAATGGACATGAACTTCATTTCTGGTGTAAAAAGGACTCTAACTCTGAATACAGTGGCTACTGTTCTCTCTGTTGCAAATCTGTCCAATGTTCAAATAATGGAGTCAAGCAACTCATGTTTAAACACCTATCCTTGTTCTAGTCTGTGTTTCACATATTATGCTAGCTAAAACCATGGTTTTTGCCACACAACATTAAATTTTTTTCTTGTTTGTATTTTGTAACAACCATGCTATATTAAACAAGGTTTTAACACATTTCCTGCTTCTAGTCTGTGTACAAAAAAACATGCTTACTTAATGTTTCATGTTGCTAATAGTCTGTGTTCTGACATATTCATTGTTTATTATGATAGTTTTCTGTTATTATTTGGAATTGGATCTAATAAAAAAGAAATACCAATTCCAGGTTCATGTCCAGATTCATCCTGTTGTGGAATCCCTATTGAAACACTGGTGACTGGTTTCCTAAATGAAGAAACTGCCATCGATATTAGTTGATAAGGGTCTGTATTTGTTTTTGCATCAACTTTAGAAAAAAGGTGAGTAGAGAGTCCTACTTTCCCTACTTTTAGGCTCTGAAATCCCTACTTTTCCCTTCTTTTTTACAAAAAAATTCCTACTTTTATCCCTACTTTTTTTGTTATTGGCCACTTGAAAGCCTGTTCATGTCAAAAATCCTCTGTGGTGTCCCTTTAAACCTGTCACAGTTATGGAATTGACTAGCCCTGATTTGAATTTTGAAGAGTCCAATGATAATGCAAGCATGTTTTAAATTAGGCAACCAACTGTTGGGTAAGTTCAGATGACTATAAGGATGTACAGGCTAGCTTGGCTTTATTAAAGTTGTAGGAAAGTCTTTGGTTCTTTAATTGATAAATCGGTATGGATATATATAATTTTTTAGCTTGACTATCCAAAGAATAAGGATATCTATCGAACTATCCATGGTGTCAACGTCACATATTCGTAAAGCTTTTGCATCCAAGGTGGTATCTCCTAAAGTACTGAAGGGAATGGGTTGCAACTTCGCACTTATTTGAGAGCATACTTATAGCAGGTTACTATCAAAGGCCCATAACTCTAACACACATTTTACAGAATTATTGCCCCTTTTTGAACTTATAATATTTTACAGTATGCATGGCTTTTGTTTATACTATCATGCACTGAGAATAGTGGAGCATGCTGTCCTACATACATCACTTGTTTTATATTACTGTTCCATTCTTCATCTATGTATGATATATTTATTTAGGCAATTAATTTTGGAGCAATTTCACTTTGTTACAAGTCTGTAAAACCAATCTCTCCTGGTTACTAATTTGTTCAAGTATTTCCATGTCCATTTGTATGATAATGTTGCAATGTACTTTTATATAATACATGTATATACTAATATATTTTAGGTTTCCACCATCAGTAGACTGTGGACCATTTCAAGGTTATGACAGACCATATAAAGTTATAAACACTACTGATATAATAGGGGAGTTACCTGACTGGCCAAAAGAGGTCTTGTACTATATTGGAACACCAGCTGTACTCTTTCCTATACTTATACTTTTGATGTAAGTTTTCCCTAGCTTGCTCTTGAAATTAAATTTAAATCTGATAAAATACTAAGAGCCACCGTTTGCATGGAAGCCCTTTTAATGCTCCCTAATAACTTTATTATTGAGTGTATTTGTATAAAGTGTTCGTTGATTATTATTATTTAAAATCAAAATTTAACAAATGAAAAAAAAAATTAACTCAACTTTGTTTCAGATTGCTGGTGGTGTATTTTAAAGTTAAGACTTCATCTTATAAACGACTTATCAGGGAGTTGAGAAGACAACTTATGTTTGTAAGCATTATCTAATACATCAAAGCTCCTAACCCACTCAGGGTGGTTTTTAATTTAAAAAAGAAATAAACACCAGTATTTCAAAGATGATTGTTATCTTTCTTGAATAAAATAAAATTGTCGAAAAAAAAAAGTGATATAAACACCTAAGATTCCTCATTTACGCCTGAAAAGGTTTCCAAGTTTATAAAAAAAAAAAACAAGGGATTTCTTTTGGCAGGATAAACGTGCCAAAAGTTGACAAGCTGGTATTTCTTGCAACATTTGTGTTTAACTTAATCATACAGTTTTATGTAAATATGTAAACCTGTGGTGAAATTTTATCTTTTGATCTTTTTTAATGTTTTGAAGAAAAACTTAACACAATAGTGTGGCTAACAAACCAAGTCTGCAACATCACAGATATATAAACAATCTTTTCTTATATTTAGCTCCATGGCAACATATTCATCTTTGCTGTTTTTGACATTCTTTTGGGACTAGTCAGATAATTAACTGTATTTCAATGACGGTATTTTCCATCTTGTAAGGTGACAACAGTATAGAGCCAGGTCCATCTGCATGGATGTATAGGCTTGCCATTACTTCCAGTTCCAGCCGAGTCAAGTTTAAGATGATAGCCAAATTTTCTAAAAATATAGAATTGTTTATGATACATGATCTAGATAATTATATACTACTGACTTTTATAAAAAAAAATATTTCTGAAAGTTTAGAAAATATGTATCAGTTTTCTTCACAAAATATTTTTAGGGCTACTATTTTATTTCTGCAGAAAAATATATATTGTCCTGTTCACAATTTTTTTTGTGAAAAAAAAAACAAACACAAAAAACAACAAGAAATCTAGTGTAAAGAGTAACTTTTTTTATGCCCCCGCCATATAATGGCTGGGGCATATAGTGTTACCCTGTTCCGTCATTCTGTCATCAGTTTCCGTTCATTATCTTAGTAACGGTTGCACACATTCAACTCAAATTTGGCATACGGATATGTCATGAGAAAATACAGGTCAAGATGGAATTTGGTCATGGTTTGATGATTTTTGGCAGAGTTATGCCCCTTTTACTTTAAAAATAATATGAAATTTTCAGTTTCCATTCATTATCTCCCCAACGGTGTTACACATTCAACTCAAATTTCACAAATGGATAGGTCATGAGAAGGTACAGGTCAAGTTCGAATTTGGTCATGGTTAAATGATTTTTGGCAGAGTCCTTTTACTTTGAAAATAGTATGAAATTTTAAGTTTCCGTTCCATATCTCCCCAACGGTATTACACATTCAACTCAAACTTCACATATGGATAGGTCATAAGAAAATACAGGTCAAGTTTGAATTTTGTCATGGTTCAATGATTTTTGGCAGAGTTATTCCCCTTTAACTTTGAAAAAAGGAAATTTTCAGTTCACATTCATTATCTCCCCAACAGTTGTACATATTCAACTCAAATTAAATATATGGATATGTCATAAGAATGCATTGGTCAATTTCAAATTTGGTCATGGTTTGATGATAGCTGACAGAGTTATCTCTTTTGAACTTTGAAAAAAAAATCAGAAATTCTAAGTTTCCGTTCATTATCTCCCCAATGGTTGTACACATTCAACTCAAATTTGACATATAGATACATCTGAGAAATAAGCAGTTCTAGTTTGAATTTGGTTGTGGTTCAATGATTTTGAACAAAGTTGTCTTTCTTGAATTTTCAGTTTCAGCACTCATACTTTTGTGCAAATGTATGTAGCCATTATTTTGGCTACAAATATGCAATTTACAAAAGGTTAGTTTAAACATATTTTATTAATTTTCATACACAGTACATAATATACAAAAAGGTTCAGTTCAGGTTCCAGTGCCTTGAACTTTGTATAAAAATGGTTTGTGTTAACATTGAATAGTTTTAAGGGCTTTGAACTTAAAATGAAAAAAATAATTTGTGCAAACAAATTTGGAACTTAATATTATAACATCTGAAATTTTGGTTGCATGCGGGGGCATCCGTGGCGTGACGACATATTTCTAGTCTTACACTCACATTTATGTTACTCCTATCCCAAATATACGAAATGTCATCTTTTGTAAGATCTTTGTATATATAGATCTGTTAGTCCTTTTTATATCATAATGCATAATTTCAGGAACGTAAAGTAGAAAAAAGAAAAATATTTGCTACTGGAAGAGCAATGTCAGGTAAGATCAAGCTGCTTTTTGACCAAGATTATCAGCCTTTACCTGGTAATTAGATTGTTGGGAGTAAACAATTTCTTCAATGCACAACTCCTGCATTTATCAATGGATTCAACCAGACTTTCACAGATTGATTGTCATTACCTTCCCTCATAAAATGACCTGAAACAGATTGATTTGTCATTAAATGCCCTGTAACATATTGTCAGAATAATATGATTTGATAATTTTTACAGAATCATGGTCCTTTTTATGCTTACAGAAAACATATGGGGGGGGGGAGCATAAATTACTCATACAGAATTTATATATTGACTGATGTCTTATATCTGGTAGGTATATACCTTTGGAGATTCTCTTACTTGGTTAAGTTTCAGGTCTCTTGAGTCAAGGCCACTGGTTCTATAAAATGTTTACACTTTCGATTTTTACTGCCTTTATTTATTAACTGATGTCATGTATATTTGGTAAGTAGATAAATTGAGTTGTCTTGTAACTTTGCCTGGAATTAGGGGCCTCTTGGATCGAGGAATGTCTTGTTTTTAATTATAAAATTGACAGAAAATATGTCTTTGTGACAGTTTCCTTTCAGTTGTTTCTAAGATATTATAATATTCAATCTCAAATTAATGTTAGATTATCATAATGAAATAAATAAAGAAAACCTTAAACAGTTTGAATGAAATAAATAAGGAAAAAAAATTGAACAGTTTGAATGAAATAAATAAGAAAAACCTTGAAAAGTTTCATATATTCTGTTGTCTCAAATAAACAAACTATGGTTCAAGATTGTTTTCTATGAATAGTATATGTAAGCCATATTTATATGTCCTATATTTTAGGTGGTGCTTTGAGTCGGTATTCCTCTCAGGAAAGTATTGGTACACCAGGAATGAAACATCGGAAGGTGTCACAGCAGACGGTTGCTACTACTATAGAGGAGGAACAAGAATTCTAATGAACCTAAAGACATCTTTTTCATTTCTAACATTTAGAGATATTGGATGTTTGAACATTGTGTGTGTGTGTCATTAATTCATGTAATTAACAAAAGTAATTAGGTTTCATATATGAGTTTTCACAAATAGTGTTTAACATTTATTGCATGACAATGAACAGTTTCTAATAAACAATTATTGGAAACAAATTGTTTTTGAAATACAAAATGTATTTTCTTTATGTTTGTAAAGAACATTAAAATCTTTGACAAATTTCATTACAGAATGTGCTCGGTGTGTTTTTCCCCATATCTTTATCATGAACAAGCTCCACAATGATTTTTTTCGTTAGATGATATTTTGCATTATAAAAACTTGGTAAATTTGTGAAAAAAGATTTTATAGACAAAAGGAAATGATAATGTAGATAATAATTATAAACTTTAAAGTAACCTATGATAAGATATTGGCATGGTTTTTAAACTCATAATTCAATTAAAGTTTTGTTTTTTTTTGCACTCGAGTGTCGATTTGTTTGATCTTGTATCAATCTTCTCTCAGTTATTAAAATCCCACAAGAGTTATGATTCTCCTTTGACACCTTAAACACATTGGTCTAATTGCTTGTTATCTGGCGTGGCTCGATTCTAAGGGGTTATTTTTATGTCCCAAAAAGTCTTTGGACAATGATGGGGTGAGGAAGCGGGCTTTTAAGGGTTTTTTTGAAGCTATTTTAACTTTGAGGTCTGGAAATAACATATTTCCATGCAAGATTTTTGTTATGTTTCTTTGTTGTTGTTTTTAGCTCACCTGTCACAAAGTGACAGGGTGAGCTTTTGTGATCCCTTTTCGTCCCACGTCCGTCCGTCGTCCGTCCGTCCGTAAACTTTTACTTTAAATGACATCTCCTCATCTCCTCATAAACCACTAAGCCAATTTCATCCAAACTTCACAGGAATGTTCCTATGGTGGTCACCTTTAAAATTTTTTCAAAGAATTTAATTCCATGCAGAACTCTGGTTGCCATGGCAACCGAAAGAAAAAACTTTAAATATCTTCTTTTAAAAGACCCTAAGAGCTAGAGCTTAGATATTTGCCATGAAACATCTTCTAATGAGTGTCTACCAAGTTTGTTTAAATAAAAGCCCTGGGGTCAAAATTGGCCCTGCCCCAGGGGGTCTTTGATTTTCCCTATATGCATATAGTAAAAACTTAAAATATCTTCTTTTAAAGAACCCCAAGAGCTAGAGCTAAGATATTTAGCATGAAGCATCTTCTAATGAGTGTCTACCAAGTGTGTTCAAATAAAAGCCCTGGGGTCAAAATTGGCCCCGCCCCAGGGGGACATTGATTTTCCCTATATGCATATACATGTAGTAAAAACTTAAAAAATCTTCTTTTAAAGAACTCAAAGAGCTTGTGCTAAGATCTTTAGCATGAAACATGTTCTAATGGGTGTCTACCAAGTTTGTTCAAATAAAAGCCCTAGGGTCAAAATTGGCCCCGCCCCGGGGGTCATTGATTTTCCTTATATGTGTATAGCAAAATCTTAAAAAATCTTCTTTGAAAAAACCAAAATAGCTAGAGTTTAGATATTAGCATGAAACATCTTCTAGTGAGTGTCTACCAAGTTTGTTCAAATAAAAACCCTAGGGTCAAAATTGGCCCCGCCCCAGGGGGTCTTTGATTTTCCCTATATGCATATAGTAAAAACTTAAAAATCTTCTTTTAAAGAACCCAAAGAGCTAGAGCTAAGATATTTAGCACGAAACATCTTCTAATGAGTGTAGACCACGTTTGTTCAAATAAAAGCCCTGGGGTCAAAATTGGCCCCGCCCCAGGGGGTCATTGATTTTCCCTATATGCATATAGTAAAAACTTAAAAAATCTTCTTTTAAAGAACTCAAAGAGGTAGAGCTAAGATATTTAGCATGAAACATGTTCTAATTGGTGTCTACCAAGTTTGTTCAAATAAAAGCCCTGGGGTCAAAATTGGCCCCGCCCCGGGTGTCATTGTTTTTCCTTATATGTATATAGCAAAAACTTAAAAAATCTTCTTTGAAAAAACCCAAATAGCTTGAGTTTGAATATTAAGCATGAAACATCTTCTAGTGAGTGTCTACAAAGTTTGTTCAAATAAAAGCCCTGGAGTCAAAATTGGCCCGCCCCGGGTGTTATTGATTTTCCTTATATTTGTATAGCAAAAACTTAAAAATCTTCTTTGAAAAAACCCAAATAGCTAGAGTTTAGATATTAAGCAAGAAACATCTTCTAGTAATTGTCTACAAAGTTTGTTCAAATAAAAGCCCTTTGGTCAAAATTGGCCCTGCCCCAGGGTTGTCATTGGTTTTAACTATATGTGTATAGTAAAAACTTAAAAAATCTTCTTTTAAAAAAACCCAATGAGCTAGAGCTTAGATGTTTAGCATGAAACATCTTCTTATGGGTGTCTACCAAGTTTGTTCAAATAAAAGCCCTTGGGTTAAAATTGGCCTTGCCGGGGGGGGGGGGGGAGGGGGGTAGATCGTTGTTTTTCATTATATGTGTGTAGTAAAAACTTAACATTGTGAAACATCTTCTAATGGGTGTCTTCCAAGTTTTTTCAAATAAAAGCCCTGGGGTTTAAACTGGCCCCGCTCCGGATGCCTTTATACAGGTGAGCGACCTCAGGGCCATCATGGTCCTCTTGTTGTTGTTTTACTTTAGTCATATTTGTTAACCAAACTGTTTTTCCTTCATAGTAGAAAACTATGGCTTATTTTCTGTTTATGAAAATAAAAATGAAATAAACATGATTATTATTTATTTTGTTCTCTTAATTTAAAATAGTCGTCAAGTTGTAGCTGTTTAAATGTTTATGTTGACCATTATTACATTGTATTAATTTGGGTTTCCTCAACCGCAGTAAGTTCTAACAAAGAGGAAGCTATTCAGCTAGCTCACGGAATATGTGTTTTAATTGGATACCCACCCGTGACTGAAATAATACACAAAGTGGGCTCACGAAAGCTGTAGCTTAGTGATTAAAGTGTCTTCGAGCGTAATTTCTTACCAAGACTGGTTAAGTTCAGGGAGCGGACTTATATAATGTTAGAAGCACTTGTTTCACAATCGATAAAAGTGCCCTATTTTTTTCAATGAAATTCCTATTTTTTATCTTTTGTTATAACATATCCCGAAACAACCATTTTTCAATCACAACCTAAATTTTAACACAGTGGAGCTGATGTCATATGTCTGACTAAATTGCATAGTCACATGTTTTGTTTACTTCAACTCCTGCAGTAAGAAAATGTTTGTTTTAAATGGAACAATGAAAATTGTCCGACTTTGACTATATCAAAATAAACACTTGTTTAAAATAGAGATAAGATGAAAAAAATTCCAAGCAAGTTCTATTTTTTATTTGCTACAAAGTTTTACCATTTAGTCGTCGGTGTATTTAAAACACCTATTTATGATTTACCACTAAATTTCATCAGACTTCATGTAGGGGACCTTTTTAATAAAATCTTAATTTGTAATCGAGTTATTTTCAAGTAATGACTAGAGTAGATCTTTTGTAAGTGATACCAGCTGGCAGACCTAGACAAGTTTTCGTATTTGGTAATATTATAAAGCGGGTAAGGTAAACTGGCTGTAATGATTGGATGCTTTTACCATTTTGCACCTCAATTAGCGTACTAAGAAGTGACACCTTCAGCTGCCCTTTTTATACACTTTAACATTAGTCGAACCAATGCAATATACTGTAAATATGTTATAACATTTAGTGTATGTTTTTTTTTAAATCTGGAAAAAAAAACTGTAAAAAATCATTGAATAGATTGACTCTGTTGTGAAATTTTCTACAATTTTTAGTAGCCCTGATTTATCTTTAACAAATTCTTCAGTGGTGAATACCCTGCTGTTTGAATTTAGGTTAAAATATTCCTGGGAATGACCTGAGTGGGTCATATCGTTTTTATGTTGTTTTTTTTAGAAAGATCAAGACTTGTTCAAAATGTACCAACCTTAAAATGAATAAATGTTGATAATTTTTTATGCATTTATAGCTAGAATAAATTTAAAGCATTATTTCTCCTTCCATTTACTATTGGCAAATAACAGTTTAACTAATTGAATATTGGTTGTTCCGGGATACTCATAACTTTAAAAATGTTTTCATTCTAGTTATGTTTTAATGTAGTTAAGTTTTTCAGCTCTTATTCATAGTAGGCAGTTAAAGGCACTTGACCAGTGAATCCATTTATTCACGGGTGACTATGGAACACTGACAGACACCTTTGTTATAAGTGAACTAGAGCATTATTTGTGAGTTACATTCTTTTATGTCAAATATGCAAAAATTGTGCCTATATCATGGTCTTTGGGGCCATAATTTAGTTGTAAAATTTCAAATTTTAGCCCTAAAATTTCTTTAACTTACCCTAAAATTCCTTAAAATTTGCCCTAATTTTTTGTCAGAAGGTGCTGGGCAGCCTGTAAACAGGATAGGAACAAAACAGTTGAAATCGGCAGGGAAACACACAAACAAATGTGGTCGATGCTTTTGTTTGAAAAAAAAACAACTTGTCTCAATGGACCAGGAGTTTCAACGTTTTATCAACAATGATTTAATCGGTGCCAGTATAGAGTTTGCTGTATTTATTATTTTACGTACAAAAAAATATTGTTACTGTTCTTATTTTCTTGATCTCTTCTCCCTTTTAAACTCTGATAATTCAATCTAAATATTGGGTTACCTGTGAATCGTTTACATGACTTGTATTTATAAATAAATATAAAAAGTTATAACAAAAAATTCGTTAATCTGTAAAGATAAGCAAGCCTGTCTAATTTGAGCTATATCACATCTGAAAGTTAACTCGCCGAGAATTTCTTTCGCCTACCTTTAACGATCAGCAGAAGTACCCCATCGATAACGTAGAGAGATAGGCCAGTTTCATTTTACCGTCTTACACGCTAGAGGCAACAACTTTGCTTTTCACAAAGTGAATCTTTTAAATATACGACTTGGAACATTTTAATTGCAATATTAAAAGACGGTGTAATTACTTAAGGGTGTTGAAAATTACGTTTTCCGAAGTGGAGGTTAATTTTTGTTTCTTCTAGATGGAACCATAAACGTGAGTTGTAATTGTTTGAAAGCTAAAAACGGATTGGACAATACATGTAGTGGTAAAAAACTGAAGATAATAAAACAATATGGCTATTCTTGTCAAAAAGGAAATAAATTTTACGAAATTTAATTTTT